TTCATTATATAAATTCTAATAATGAATAGAAATATAATATTGGACCGGCTTTTCCTTTGAATTACTAGATATAAAATCAATTAGTTAATTATCTGTTACAAAAGCTCGCACAAACGTGATAATTGGCACAGAAACAAAACAAGCACTAATTGGTTTTAAATATTGGTTTCAATAAAAAAAAAATGACAAAAATATTTTATTACCGCGTTATTGATGTACTACATAATTTCGTTGCAATATGATATATTTCTTTCAGTAATATATCCAAAAATTAGTACTAAATACAAGACTTATAGAAGTCATTGCATACTTGCTCCTTTCTGATAGGAAGTAAATTGAATATTGCATGTACTAGTTATCTTAAGGAGTTGAATATAAGAAATAATTGTCAAATTATAAGAAAAATAATTAAAAAATCCGATTGAGCTTTTAATAGTTTTTATTACTTATAACCTTAGTATATTTATCTTATGGTATTTACCTTATATGAAACGGTGAAGTTACTTGGAAAAAGTTAAAAACTAAGACTTATATAATAGTCATATTCGATAAAATGTTTATTTCCGGAATAAAATTTTCGATTTTTTTAAAAAACACACCTATAATACATGCAATTGTATAAATTAAATTATTTTGTTCAACTCTTTTTATTTTATTCATTTCGAACTTGACATAGATTCTGTTTAGAATTTATCATAGATTCTAATTAGAATCGCTTAAACCCGCAGTAAAATTCAAAACATTGATTTATTTTTAATTCAACCGCTTATCGTAGGCCTATAATATTTAGGTATGTTATTTAGGACTACGAAATCTATCGTTATAGAAAGTTTAATCAGAAACGTCAGAAAAAAACTTAGTACTAAGAAACTGCTCAGCCAATCTTTACCAAAAACTATTTAACGCGATTCCTAATCAATATCAACCAATTGAACAAAATTGTGACCTTAACGTGAACAAACATTTTTCTGCCAATTTCAAAGAAACGGCTTGCCCGATCGGCTAGCAAAATTGTCTAGTGGTAGTCGGCTTACATTTTTCAAATGTGGTTTCATTCGATACAGACGATAATTCAAAAACATTCGATTCGTGTTGATAAGGAGACGTGCTGATTAATTTTTGGCGAAGGCAGATCTAGCCGTTCCGAAAATACGGGGCGAGAAGTGTAAAACAGTGACTCTGAAGAACTGATAAAATTTTTGGAAATGCAGGTCCAGCAGTTATGAACTCCCAATAAAAATATGTTGAAAAAAAGTCATTTGGCGGTCAAAAATATTTATCGGTCATATGTACATCAAATTATCAGATATTTTATAGAGATTTTAATGATGTTCACACATTCTGTATAATTTTTTTGACTTGAAATGTTGAAAAAACATAAAATTAGCAAATCGGACTTTTTCGCAAAAACAATTTTCTCCTTCGGAAAGTTAATTACACAGATGCATCTCATTCGGTTCGTTTCTAATATCAACATGTTTGTTTATATTTTTGTTATTTTATATATGGCTTGATATATATCATCAAAAATTAGGTCTAGGCGTAGGTGCTACGCCAATCAGCCAATCAAGTATCAAGATTTTGCAGAGATTGCAGAATAAATGCACTAAAATACACCCCAACTGGCTTCTCCACAGCAAACTGGGAACTATTTTTATTAAGGAAGAGACCCAAATATCCTTACAAGAAAGCTGCTAGTACAAATACACTTCAGAAGATTAAAAAAAATCCTCACGATTTGTTTTAGATCTAATCATAAGTATAAACACCTATTTGACTTTGCTCTCTTCTTTTTGACAGACTATATTTCACGACTATAAAGAAACTATCAATCGATGTAGTTCTTAGTTTTTAACCTTACTCTAACAAGTACAATTGATTTTATATCTCATGTAAATAGATGATCTAATAAATATAAATAAATATATTTAATAGACAGGTTTTGGATTTTTTCAACAATATTCGCATTTCGACCGTACATATCTGGGTAACAGAACTGCATTACAAACATACTTTAGAAAACAAGTGCGTTTAACAAAAAAAATAGTGATATGAATATATAGATCAATATTGCAGGTAAATAATTTGTGCTACACAATTTTATTTTTTATTTTTCATATTCCTTTCTTTACTTTTGTCTGGTTTTAAGGATTTTTGAACCCACCTCCCCCTTAGTGATACATGGTGATATTCAAAATTACCCTCCCCCACGTGTATTTTTAGTTACGTGACAAAACTGTGAATTTTTTTTTTTTTTGAAAATGTTTGATTTTTTTTTAAATCAGTCAAAAAATAAATACTCGTGATATCTTACTATACCCCTCCCTGCCCCAAGTGATATTTCGTAATTATTTGTCAAACTCCCCCTCCCCCTAAGAACCTCACGTGATTAATGGACGCCCCCTAATCAATTTCTCTATAAAAATTTTCTTTTGCAATATTCTGTATTCTTTTTATAATATTATGTTAGTCTCTATAAAAAGATCTATAGAACTATAAAATTAAACATAATATCTGTAATTGAATCACTAAATAGATAGTTTCCAAATAAACTTTGCCATCAATTACTACTACTATCTGCAATGCACTATTCAATTTGCTTAGATAATTTGATTTTTCCAAACCGTATTAGAATTTGAATTGCAGATCGAGTTAGGAATTATAACGTTTGCCCTGGCCACCGTCGTCTACGAGTTTGGCAAATGCATAACCGCTGAGTGATGTTATTGATGTTGCAACATATCTCCTAGAGTTCTACGCCAACTTCTACTAATGCGATAGACGGAACAACTTAGACTGAACTAAACCGTAACAGTAACAGTAACACATTCGATATCTAATCATCATTGCCAAATACTATAAACAAACATTTCTAGATGTTTAGTACACACACACATACAGGGTACATGTATAGTTTGATTAAAGATAATAATCGTTATTGTGTTATTATTACAAATACATTTATTGAAAATGCAATTTAGAAACTAAAGGTATTCAGAATTGTGCTTAGAGCAAATTGCTGGAACTTCCCATACAGTAATCAATCACTCTGCCAATACTGTCTGAATGTTATTTGAATCATTAAAATCAGTTGATCCGTGCTCCCGATATCGTAGACAAAAAATTGTATCCAAACATACGCGCACACAAGCACACATACATACATAAATTTTTTGTAAGGTATTCCAAAATATTGAGAAACCTGTGAAACGTAAGATATGCAAACATATTCATTTTCGTTTTTTTTGACGATCACTAATATAAATCTTACTACCATACTAGAAGCTAATTACTAATTACTTGCCAAAAATTATTGTTACTAATTTATATAACTTATATATATATATATATATATATAAATATATATATATATATGTATGTAACTTATATATATATATATATATATATATATATATTAAAAATATAAAATAATAGAATCGTATGTATGAACCGCGAGTCAATCATCAATAATTATCATAAATGTATTTTGTCTAGTTGGTAGCTTTGCTTTGTTTTGAGCATTTTTATTTAGTTTAGGGTATCTCAATATATTTAAAGAATTTTGCAATGCTAAAATATAATGAACGACAGTCATTGCATCTCTAAGAATGGGGACTTCAACCCTTTCTCGTTACAATATGTTATTTACTAGTTTTATAAAATGTCTTGTTATTTTATAGTTAAATTCAACCGTTTTTAAATAAAACCTCTGTAAATTCTGACGAATTGAGTTAAAAAGAGCAATTTTACAAGAGATAAAGAGTTAGTTATTCTAACTCTGCTAATAAATATTTCTAAGTACCAGATGATGGTTATATACTGTGTGACTTTTGTAAAAAATTCCATGTAATATATAATAACATAAAAGTTTTCACATGTGCGATGATTTTACTGTGATAAATTGTCAAATATAATTCTAATAAATATCTGATTATGAGTGAAAATTTGAAAGAGTGAATATTTTTTCTGAAATATTGAACCAATCATATAACAAATTTAAATCTTGCGACATTTAAAGCAATTTTAAAAATGTTAGTCCAGAATTTTTTTTTTGTATAGGTGATGATGATGTAACAATATTAATAGTTTTTACATACCAATTTTCAGGTTATATAATTTTCTTCATAATAATATATTATATTTTTGTTTATTATTGTTTTTTCATAATAGTATATTATAGTTTTGTAGATTTTAATTTGAATAGGTGAATCTATACCTTAAGTAAATATAAAATTAATCAAAGTTATTTCAGAATTTTAGTGCCATAATTTATAAGTAATTATTAATAATTACTATGTCTTATTTTATATTTTATATTCTTGAATATTAATCTTCAGGTATATTTTTATTAGCGGTAAATATTATATGAATATATAATATATAAATATTTATATGAATAATTCGAGATATAATAATAATACGACAATAATAATAATACGAAATATAGTTTTAAAAATGTTGAAATGAACTAATACGTGAGTATAATTTAACGATACAATACGATTCTACTTAAATCGTTTGAAATACGTTAAATTTTGTTATTTTTGAAGACTTCCAGTAAAAGTGCCTAATGGAGCTTTTTTTTCTAAAAAGTTTTGGAGGAAGATAACTGAATGACTATACACATAAATATGTGTGATGGGATCTAATATAGAATCAATAAATAAAAAAATTACATTTACGACCAAATATTAAGAACTTTTAGAAAATGGATTGAAGTCGCATGGTCTATTATTTGCTAACCAAAATAATAAAAATCTATAACTAAATCTGATAAAAATAAATAACTGTCGATAAAATATAATAGCCTATTATTAGCAGTATAGCTAATAAAAATAACGGTAAAGTATGAAACTATTAGAATATCGTCATACAAAACCTCCACAATTAATGAGTTTTATAATTAATTAAAGCAGCGAATAACACAAGCAAACAATCTAAGGTTACATCCAGACATGCCATTTAAATAATAAATTTGCAATCAAATAAAAATAACTGACCTTTATATATAATTCCTTCTTGTTTAATATTGTAATTAGCATCAGGGAGTGATAATTCACAAAAGACTTTTGTAGGGTCCTCTGGGAGCTCATCCATGTCTAAATCTGTTTCGACGCGAATGTCGTAGAGAAGATCGTGTTCTTGGGTCACATTGCTTTCAATATCGGGCATTATTCTGAAAAAAGAAAAATAAATTATTTTTATTTTATTTAAACAATCTATAAAAAATTATTTATTTTGATGATTTATAAAAATGTCATCCCCAAAGATTAGAGAAATGGAAAATTGAATTCTTATTAGAACTGATATAGAAAAATTGAAAACACAATAGATAACACATATCTAAGAAACAACTATCTGACTATGTTCAGTAAAACTTCCAGATAATTTCTTATTATAAAAGTGTGTTTTTGAAGTAAAACTTCTTTAGGCGCTACTATGGTGTAAATCCGTACAAATGCAACGGAAGTTCTGTAATTTCTATATTATTCGTAGTTTCTATAAATCTTTGAAGTTATTGAAATGGAAAATATTTTTCAGGCAAAACAGATATTACTGCTGTTAAAAAAATGAGATTATATGGCCAGCGAAAAAGTAAAAAAAATACAAGCAGTCAATGAATGTATGTTAATTTTAATTACATGAAGTTCTTCAAATACAATTACATGATGAGTGAAGTTTAAAAACAAGATTTCTTTATACTTTGTTTAATATAATCTACTGTGTGAATGAATATTTTAGAATTTATTAATCAGCAATTATTTCATTTCTCTAATAAAGATTCAAGCTGTAAATGCTAATTACAATGACAAACCGATTATGTCGTATTTGAAGCATGACTTTAATTAAATTATTGTTTTTAAATATTATATATATTTTTAATGCTATTATAAGTATATAATTTATAATTTATCATTATATAAATGTGTATAATGGTTGAAACTAATAAATGTATGCATCACTCGTGTTACCATATTACTAATGAACATTATTCAAAATTGTTATCTGATGTATTTATTTTTACTTAATTTAAATTTGCTACTTTGTACAGTAGCAAATAAGTTTTACTTCAATCGCGTGTGAACCTTACGCGCACTCTTTTTTTGCAATTTTTTCAAAAATTTGTCACTTGGTTTTTTTTACCCCTTGGGCGGGGTAAAATGGGTCCGCCAGAGGGTAATCAGGTACAATGTCTTATTTTTAATTTTAAAGGGATTTTACAGAAAAATATCTACATTATTCAACCAATGCAAAATATAATTTTCATGGGTACATTTTTCTACAGAGATAATACTGTATATAACCTTGATCTGGTATTTTGTCAGATATTTATCAGCAGAGTTGGAGTAACTATTTATTTAATTCATCACTTGTAAAATAGCTTTTTCAACCTTAATTTTTTTTTATTTACAATTTTTTATTGTTTACACCTTTGCCAGGGTGAAGGTTCAGTCGGTCCTTTTTATGTAAGCTTTTATAAAGGTTATATAAAAAACTATTGACGTACACTTAAAATTTACATTATTGTATAGTTAACTAAACAATAGTGCTCACAACCAAAAAAACTAACAAAGAGATGAAATACTTTTGTTATGGATTTTCAAAATTTGCAGTTTATCTCCCGAGAGCGAAGTCATAAGAATCAAGGTGATAGCTGGTTATGCATCTTTTTCCTTCTACTTTCAAATAGTGTTGCTGAATTTTTTTTTACTTTACTTGTTTTTGAGATATCGGTGATGGACCTTGTTACCAGCAAACCATTAAGCCCCGCTCTACGCCATATATATTCATTTATACTAAAATAATCCACAAGACATGCAGCATTGTTGAAAATAATATATTTTTCATATATTTATGAATAAGCGATTACGCAGATGTATTATATTTTTCTCTATATAAAATAAGCGTTTTACACACCGTATTTAAAATAAGCTCATTTTCCATTTTGTAATTCGAAATACTTGGAAGTATTACGGCTCGTTCTCCTCTCTTTTCTACGTAAATAATTAATGCACGAGGAAAATAAAGAAAACAACGCAACGCTCTTTCTTTCTATGCAGTAAAATGAATTAGAATTTATTTAGACCGCAAAGAAAAACGGAATTATAAAGTAGATTCGAAATGACAAACGGAATTCTGATAAAAATTAATGATGCTCTTTTTTTGCTCGATGATATTAAAGCCAAAGTGGAAAGTGAATTATGTTTAATTGAAAATATCGATATAATTTGATAATTTATCAAGCTATTTTAATAATAAATACGATTAGTGGATGCCGTTCTTTTACTGTGTGAAACTATTCAATGTTTACCAAATTATTTTGCTATTAATTTGAGTTTCTCAAATTAATAACATCATACTTAAAGCTATCAATTTTTTACTTGCTCATATTATTTGTAAGCTAATATGAAGTGAGAAACATTTTAAAAATAATTTTTTTTAGTAAAACTAAATCGTTGATATTAAAATTTGCCTGTCGTGCTAATAAATGCAATTGATATAATTAAACATACTTATAGTTATCCTTAATCGTACATTTTTTTTTAATTCTCTTGTTTTAATCAATGTATTTATTGGATATATACTATGGTTTCTTTCATGTTTTGATCCTTTGGCTCTGTATCTTTTATTGAGATCAACAATTGTAATATACGTTTCAAATATAATTAAATATACAGAAAATATAATTGAAATTATATAACACATTATATAGAAATAATAATTAAAACTGATAAACATTTTTCTGATGTTGGTTTTTTATTGAAAATAGTATATATTTGGCATGAGTTAAATAATGTAGGTATTATATCGTAAAATTCCATTAAAATTTAAAATAAGACATTAGACTTCTTTGTCTCCTGGTCGTCATATTTTACCCCAACTATGACGTAAAATCGACAAGGTGACAAATTTTTGAAAAGCAGAAAAAACACATTTTTAGAATTATGAGTTAGCGGGTAGTCTTACTGAACATAGTCAGACAGTTGTTGGATTGATATATGTTATTGTTTGTGATATAATTAGTTTGGTTTTCACAATATAATTGCTCAAATTTAAATCGGACCTTTGTGCTCCGCCCTACCCTAATATATCACAGGTTACATTTTTTGAAATTTGAATTTATTCTCTTTTCTAATTACAAACTAATTTTAATATAGATAAAACTATGTATTAAATCAAAAGCCATCGGTGTATATTTCATTTCAAAACTCATTTTGAATTCGTGCCGAAATTAAGGCAACAAAATAATTGAATTTTCTACGTATTTCATTTTCATATCTGTGTATAATCAAAGCTTGAATAAAATTCGCTTAAAATATATATTCTGGTATTATCATTATTATATTATATTATAAAGCATATCTGCGGCTTCCTTGAATAGAATAATTTATATTTGTGCAAATATGTTTGAAGTAATTTAAAGTTTTAGTGGTGGCGAATATTTTAATTTTTGAATAATTTAGGACAAATAGTTATATATATATACATATATATATATATATATATATATATATAACTATTACTATTACTAAACACTATATATATATATATATATATCATATATAAAATTCTTCTGTAATGATGTATGTAAATATATTCCTCCTAAACGATTATTCGGATTTTGATAAATCTTTCTAAAGTTTGTTAAGGTGATTTTTTAGTATGTATGTGATTATAAAAACATAGTAATATTGTAGAAATAAATGAAAAAAATTGCAAAAAACAACATACCATTGTTTGCCAAAAATGTCGATTTACTCGAAATTTGAATTTAGTTTAAACGAGCCTAGACAATAATAGTATACAATATCCATATTCAGGATTGTAAATAAGAAAAATGTAGCATATAGAATATTATTGCCAAAAACCAGCTGAGATGTGCAATGAAATTAAAACAATATAAGATACAACATAATGTTTGGCGGATGAAATTATATAATTTAATTTAATAAATAACACAATATGTCCAAAATTGCATAAACATTATTTTTTTAAACTTGTGCAAGTTGTAGTTTGGTTTACTTTACTAAATTATATAAATACAAAAGAATATTTCTACTTATTCAAAAAATGATTTAGAATTTCGTTTCATGTGTCAAAATTTTATTTGTTTCATCATGATCTTAAAATGAACAGTGCTATATGAACTAGAATAATTTAGAAATTGTAATTGCCAAAAAGCAACTAATATAGGGTACGCGATTATATTAATTGATATAATTGAAGCAATTATATTGGTTGAAAATAACAAAAGTGATATTGTTCTTTTACCGTAGATACTATATTTATTCTTTCTGAATTTCTTATACCTATCAATAAACTGCACTTTTCAATATGTGTATAGCTTATGCTAAGATCATAAATGGAAGGATATTAAATAGAATATTAAAAGTATAGGATAAGATATTAAAAAATTTGGAACTTAAATTGTAGACGTGGGTACAGGACAACGTCTGTCGGGACATCTAGTATATGTATATACTAGTACTGCCTTAAGGCAGGTATGTGAGCTGAGTTAAACTTCAACTCGATTCAGGGAAAAAGGAGGAGAAAGATGAAGTATGTTTGTTCGAACAAGTTTACATTATTGCCTTTATTCAGCGCCCTATATTAACAAGAGCTGTAGGCCGGATTGCTTTGAAAAAGCTAAAAGTAAGCTTTTTTGTTCGATTTATTTCAATGATAAGTGTTACTTGTATACATTTAGATCACGTTGTTTGTTATTTTGCAGCGAATTGAAATTACTAGTTTATTTCCAGCAATTAGTTTTGTTTTATGTGACATGTATATGTTGTGACATGTATTTCTCGTCCATTTTGGGTGAAATTTGACCAAATCAAGAAAAATTCCTACTCACTATTCTTATTCATATAATTACATCTAAAAGCTGTAGATAAAATGTATAATTACTCTCTTTTAACAACTTCCATCAGGAAGTGAGTAATAATTGAAATTCTTTATATACGAGGTCTGTTCAAAAAGTACCCGGAATTTTCGTTTTTTCAAAAAAATATTTATTTATTCGTCTACATTAATGTGGTCCCCTTCAAAGTAGTCCCCCCCAGATATAATACACTTATGCCAGCGTTTTTTCCAATTTTCGAAGCACCCTTGATATTCACTTTTTGATATGTCCTTGAGCACTCTCAGCGATTTTCTTCAATCGAGGAAAAC